TATCTATTCATTTCAGATGCCCATTTTTGAATCGTGTCTTATGTTGGGGGGGTGCTGATTGTTTTGAGTTCTTTATATATTCTAAATAATAGCGTCATTTGAGAGATGCAGATGAAAACAACACTGAGATTCCACCTCACCCCACAAAGAATGGCTGCTATCAAGAAATCACACAATAACAAATGTTGGTGGGGTTGTGGGGAGAAAGGAACCCTTCTCCATTGTTGGTGGGAGTGCAGACTGGTGCAATCACTACGGAAATCAATACGGAGATGCCTCAGAGAGCTGGGACTAGAGGTTCCATTTTACCCAGCCATCCCTCTGCTGGGTATCTTTCCAAAAGAATTAAAAGAATCATGTCACAGAGATATATGCACACCTATGTTTATAGCGGCACAGTTTGTAATAGCTAAAACTTGGAAATAGCCCATTTGCCCATCAGTTGGAAACTGGATAAAGAAGATGTGGTTTTTCTTTAAAATGGAATATTACTCAGCCATAAAGAATGAGAAATTAGATTCATTCATAGGAAAATGGATACATATTGAGGATATACTCCTAAGTGAAATAAATAAGTCACACATGTGTAAATACTGAATAGTTTCTCTTGTGTGAATAAACTATAACAGTACATAATATACTAATGATGTAATTGGCAATGTGAAATAGGAAGAAAGGGGCTAAAGGTGTGGGGAAAGTGGGAAGGGTAGGGGAAAGCTAATGAGGGAAAAGAAAAAATATGAGAAAACGAAAAAATGGAAATGAAGTGTTTGTCAAGGGGGAGGGGAGGAGGGGGTGAAGTGAAGGCAGGGACAAGGGGAAAAATGAGAACCAAGACCTGTTATGGAAAGATACAAGATCCCAATGATGAATGCAACTGTGCTGTATACCTAAAACGTACCAATAAACTAATGAGGGGAAAAAAAAAGACTTCAAATGTCAAAAACTAATACTTCTTCAGGGATGTTATACAAATGCATTTGGGATTCCTTAAAAGTTAATCTGAGGTTATAAAATTTTAAGACCTATTGTAAGAACAAAGTTTTTGGGCATTTGGATCCTTTAGGGACTATTTCAAGGATCTATTGGTGTCTCTCCCTCTGTATTGGAGGTGTGACTGTCAGATTGGTCTTCTGTGGTGTTGTTTTTGCTTTGGCTATGAAAACAGCTTTCTTACTGGTGAGGCTGACTCTGCTATTTTCATGTGCATATAAACCCTAAAGTAGCACTTAAAAATGCAAATATAATTGTGTAGGTCCCCTGCACAAAATCCACTGATAACTCTACCTCCTAAGCTGCAAGTCTCCTCCTGATGCCCATGTGTGAACCTCCTTTTGGCGACCAGTAACTTGTAATTTTATGCTTGGAACTGTCATAGCTATCTTTGCTAAGTCTTTCTCATGCTTTTCTCTCTCTTTTAAGTACTTTTTGCCTCTTTCTTAGCTTACTCTTCAGTCTCAGCTTAACTGTCGTCTTCTCCATGAAGTGTTTCCTGACATTGTGATCCCCATTTGTTTTTGACCTTCCTTTGCTGGTTCTGTCTTACTATCTGCACACTTTTACTGCTCCTGGTTGCACTGTATTTGACCTGAAAATGCCTGACCAGTCCTGAGACTGGACCCTTTCACTTTATATACTTAGAGGTCAGCACAGGGCAGGCGTGAAGTTGATCTCAAAACATGTGAGCAACAGCCTTTGAATTATTTAGTAAATTTGTTTTCAGCAAGAAATCATAGATGCTTAGATAGAGTTAGGTAAATGTACATACATCAATTCTTTATGAGATTCTCAAATTTTGCAAAAGTTTCCTCTGGGAGCATTTTTTATGTTTCAAAATGGCATAATAATTGTGCTTAGTAAAGTGCGCTTAAAAAAATGGGGGCAACAGCAATGACATCAGCCTATTGTATATTCTTTCACTAGATTGTTATTCTAAGGAAATCCAGAGTATCACTGGTACAAGTTTCATTGTAATTTTATTGAACCTAATGTCATTACAACTAAAAAATCTGTTATTGGTGACCAAATATCACTAAAAAATTTTATATTAATGTAGAAAAGTATACTTGTTTTAGTATGACTGGTTTCCTTATAAAAATATAAACTGTAAAAAGGGAGAATGCTTTTAAGAGGATATTGCCAAATGGATAAAATTGAGCTGCAATCTATTTTTAGTCTGTAAACACAGTCACTTGGGATGAACAGGTAATGGTTTACCTGGCACATCATAAGTACTGAATTCAGTACTTTTTCATTTTTTTTAATGGCTTTGTATAGTCACATGGCTTTAGATTAATTTTGGATTATTTTTCTGCAATAAATTGAAAAGTTCTCAAGGCCTGACTGACTCCTGGATGAAATCCTTTTTTTGTCACCTCACCCTGGACAACCAGCTCTGGACAAAATGCCTCCCTTCTTTGTGTCCACTTCAACCTATAGAATGTAACAACCATGAATTTTTGTTGTTTTATTGCAATGTAATTGAACATAATGACACCACAGTTAATAATTCTGGCATGTAGATGCCAAATATCACTCAGTAATATTTGATCTTTGTAAATGGATGAATTTACATTTCAACCCAAAAGAATGTAAATCCACGAGGTCAGGAATTTTATCTGTTTTATCAAAATCAATGTATCCTAAATATTTCATGTAGTTCCTGGTATAATGTAGTAAATGGTCAGTGGAACCCCTTGGGTTTTGGACTTCCTATCAAGATATGGACGTACGAAGTTTGAATTTCCAGGGTGTTTAAAATGCAAACTGTAATTCCAAGTTTTAAAATGAGAATTTTAAAAGAAATATTGGGCATGTTACATGGGGAATATATTTTTGTAGCCAAGATCTCTTTGTGGTCCCCTGAAATCACTCAAGACCAGCTGTATCATCCATTTCTCTAAAGACATATAAGTAGACTGCTGGGTAAGAATTCCAGAAAGTAAAAGTGTGTGTGTGTGTGTGTGTGTGTGTGTGTGTGTGTGTTGGAATGAAGATTTTTCCATTTCACATGTACTTCATCTCATGCTATTTCTCTTTCTTTTCTTTAGCAATGTGGATCTGAGCCTCCTCTAACACAATTTTATCACATTCTTAAAAAGTGGAGAGTTACCAAACTCACCTTCTGAAGTATCTGGGAAGCATCAGGTCAGGTGTCTGGTGTACATGATGTACGGTGTGTTTTCTCCTCGTGATGCAGGCTGGAAAATGATGTGAGAATTGGAAGAATCTCTCTCTCTCTTTTTTGGTTAGGGAGGTGGAGTATGCAGTGGGTAGACTTTCTGTCTCCTTCCCAGTTTTTCCTAAACCCAAGTTTGGACAGGCAGGGGAATAGAGAGTGACAATTTGGAAACTGGCATTTGCTTGAAATAAAACATCTTATGCATTCTTAAATCCACAGAGTGGCTGCTTATTGAAGAGGAAGGTGGTGTGAGCCTGTGCCACAATTCTGAGTATCTGTAAACCTTGCTGATCCATGTATTTATATTTTTTATTGTCTGGAAAATATGATGACATGTTCTTAAAGGAGAAATTGCAGTTTAGAAGTCTGGCATAGATAATTTTTATTGAAGCTTATGCTTGCAGATAATGAAATTTGGGATTCCCTGTCTCTATCTCACTCCTGAAACATGGGTGAGAAGACTCCAGTTCCAGGTTTTGGTTTGGGTTTGCTAACTGGGTAACTGGGGCAGGTCACACTCAGCCCCTCTCAGTCCACTATTCTCCTTTGTTCGTGATGATGATAGCAGTGACCCTACAGATTTCTTGTGTGACCTAACTCAGGCCGAGAATGAAGATGAGCACTGAAATCCTGTGAGACAGTCTTAATATTACTTTCATGCCTCTCACCTTCCTTGCCCTTCAGAAAGAGATTTATCCACTTGAAAAATTAAAATCACTCATTCTTATAGGTGCTCTTTTTCATTTGAGCTGCTAGAAAGCTAAGAACGAACTTTGTAAATCACCTTTAGCAAGGACTTCATGACCTTTGTAAAATATGATAGCCTTATTTTGCCATCAGCTTTTTGCCACTTTATTTCCCTTTATTGTTACTTTAGACATTCAGACTATATTAAATGCTTGTTGATGTAAACAGACTTAATATCTATTTGAAATAAATTATTATTATACTGGTATATTACTGTATTATATTGGTATTGTCATACCAAACAAATAAATATGATTACACCAATTTTCATTTTTTTCTATTGAGTTGGAGGGTGGAGAATAAAATCCTCAGAGGGTCTGTGTTGTGTTACTTCTTCAGTACAACTGAAGTGTGAATAAAAATCCGTTTCAAAGATCCCATTTCTAGGGTGGTGGTAGTGGTAAGGTTTGTTAGCTCTTTGAGTAAAAATAATCTAAAATTTTTATCTGATAATGTTTAGAATTGGGATCTGGTAGAGGGAAAATACCCAGTTAAACAACTTTTATTCATACTGAAATTGACTCTTGCTTTGTTTCAAGTTACACATACTACAGGAGAATGTTTAGCTGAAGGAAGTTCTTTAATCTTTAAGACAGCTTCTTGGCTTAATGTATTTTCATTATCTTTTAGGCACTTTTCCTTGGAACAGAGTTCTGGATTTTATCATAAATAAGAGAAAGAGACCGACCCCCATAGGTTCTGAAGTTAATATTTTGAGTTTTGTTAGTATTTTATCACAACTTTATTTTGTTTGCTTCGTAGAACTATGCTAAATGATCATTTGTTTTTTAAATGCTATTTCAGTGCTGATTGACTTAATCCTAATTCTCTTCTTGGGTGCTTTTAGCTTACATTTATTCTCTAAAGTCCACTTGTACTGATGGATACATGTTACAACTGTACCTTATATTTTTGTTATATTTCTCATTTTGGCTGTATAACCTGTAGAGCTCATGGGAACTTTTTGGGCAAACAGTCAAACAAACATAGTAAAAAAGATACTCTGTTGTGTTTATATTGCTACACTGATAAATATATGATATAATTCAGTGAAACTTACTTTGTTTTTCAGTTCTTTCTGGAGGACCATTGCCTCAAGGACAAGAATTTGAACTATATGAAGTTAGATTTCACTGGGGGAGAGAAAATCAGCGCGGTTCTGAGCACACGGTTAATTTCAAAGCTTTTCCCATGGAGGTAAGAATAATGATCATCTCATAAAAAAATCTTGTTCTGTGAAGAGTTCAGTGATTTACTGAAAATGGTAGAGTTTAAAAGGTGGTGCATAGCTTTTCACTTTTATCAGTTTATACTAAGATTAAAAGGTGCTTAATTAAATGTATACCTGGGGCAGCAAAGGAAACTTCCCATCCACTTTATTGGGCTTGGTAATCACTTTATTGGGCGGGTAATCAATTGGCCATGGTAGTGTTCTGTTCACTTCAGTTCTATCCTAGTATTAGTAGTGTTGTGAGCATTGTGCTGCTTCTGCAAGTTTAGGTATCACTTTTGTCGATACTGAGTAGTTGATGAGTTGGAAGCAAATAGATGTTGAAGAAAGCTCAACAGTAATTAAACATCTAGTTTAGCTCATTTAAAAATTTGTGGATTGGTTTTATTTACTCAAAACTATTGGGGAGAGGAGGAGGTGTAGATAGTGATTCTTTTGTGTGAAGTATTCCCTTTACTACTTACTTTCTTAGTTATTTTTCTTTCTTCAATATCCAGTTGAAAATTTATATCTTCTATGGGATTTTTTTCTGATTTCCTTCCCTAGGCAGAATTAATTTCTCCATTTCTGGTATACTTGATAGGTTGCTGCCATGCTGATCTTATGAGCTGGCAGATATCATGCCCTTTGTCTTGCTGACTGTGGACACTTAAGGACAGTTTCTTTCTCATATCCTGCTGACTCCCATCATCTAAGAAACTGCCAGGCACATCACAGACAAATAGTCTATGTTGATAAGGTTGAGGGATATCTGTGTTGCTCCAGCCTCATTTGTAGTGCATTCCATAAAAACCCATTTCTCCTTGGGAAATAGCCCTTCAGTACCATGTAAGATGTCTCGGTCACTTTCCTTAGCCACTTTCCTGTCCTTTTCTTCTTCTTTGTCCTCTGGATAATCTAATCCATTTAAGAGTCCATAATTCTTAGTTGTATCAGTACAAGATTTTGTCTCCATCTAGAATCATATAGACAGCAATGAATAGGCTAACTTTTGTGTTTGGTAAATGTGATAGATTAAACACAATTTAACCATTAATAAGAGTGTATTTTGGAGACTGATGGAATGTCAGTCTTATTTCTCCATTATTTACTACTGCATGCATGCTTAATATTAAATATGGAATTGCTCGTGGCTACATACCATGTCCAGCAATACCACATCGATGACTGGAAATCACCACTGTATAATTTTATATAAATAATCTACAGTATGCATTTTAAAGATTAAATTAGAATTTTTTCAGGATTACTCCACTATATGATATCTATATATAATGAAATACTATTCTGCTATAAAGAATGACAAATTTAAGACATTTGTGGGAAAATGGATGCACCTGGAAAATATATTGTTGATTGAAACCAACCAGACACCCAAGTTTAAATACCATATAGTATTTCTCATTTGAGTAAGGCAAAATACAAATATAGAGAATAATAAGGATGGATAGAGAGGAAACAAGGAGCTGGATCTCTTGCAATGTTGAAATGGTCCAAGGGAAAAAGAGTGAGGGATGAGGAGGAGAGGAAGGGAAAATAAGTAGAATAAAGACATGTCAGATATAGGGACCTAATAATATCATTTAATGTAAACATTATATACCATGACATGAGCTATGATTCCTAATAACAACAAGATTGAAAATGAAATAGGGGAATTGGAGGAGGAGGGAAGGACGAGAAGGGAGGAGAAGGGGATTGAAAGTTAAAATAGGCTGTGGTGTGCAAATGAAACCACTCTTCAAGATGATTGTGAACTGCATGAACTGAAAACATGTGCTAATAAAATTTAAAAAGTGTTAAAAAGACAAAAAAAAAAGGCTTTAAACTGGGTGTGGTGGTACATTCCTATAATCTTAGGAGTCTGAGTCAGAAAGATTGAAAATTTGAGTTCCACCTGAGCAACTTAGACACTGTCTCAAAATTTAAAAACTTAGAAAGGGCTAGACATGCAACACAATGGTAGAGTACCCTGGGTTTGATCCCCAGTACCAAAAAAAGAAAAAAAAAAGGTCCTTAAAATTGAAATGTGAAATGTTTTAAGGAAAGAGGGACAAAAACCAGAGTGTGACCTGTTGAGCAGCATTATGAAGCATTAAGACAGTAAGAGAAGAGATCTTCCTAAAGACCTTAATAAGGAGTATCTTCATGTGTTCTCTATCAGAGAGCTCTTTTCTCATTGCCAACAGACATTTATTTCCATTACCTTAAAACAGTTCTGGCTACCACACTGGATCCAGCCAACTTAAGAAAGAAAAATGTACACCAAAACACATCAAAGAGGAGAGACAGCACAAAGCAGAACAGTTCTAGAATAGTTAACCTACTAGGTCATAGCGGGTAGGGTAGGACAAGCCCTGCCCTCTTCCTTGGGTTTGAAAGGCTATTTCATTGTTTCCTTCCAATCAGTCCTCAGAGGCAGACTCTAGTAATCATATATTTTAGAGAGTTGGGCAATATTCAGTAGGAAAGAACTTCTGGGTGGGAATTCAGTGCCTTTGCTCATGACACAGTTTATAGCCTTGAGAAGTTTAATTAGATTAGGGGATTCAGTGATCTGTATTCTTTGTTATGTAGTTAGAATTTTGGAACCAAATGTTCAGACTAGTCTGGCTACTTGGTGATGTTTTAACGGCTCTGGTCCATTAAGCACAAGTAATAGATTGCTTTGAGTGAAGATTAAATTCTGGATGTGAGGCTTTGTTTCTGCAGAAATACTTATATTTAGGCAATGGAATTACTGACTCTAATTTTTCTAAAGTAGGTAATGATTAAAATTTATGTTCTTTGTTACCCCAGATTTGATGCAATGCTAGAGAAAATACTTGTAGCAGTCATCTGATGTTTATTTGTGACTCTGTCCTGTTGCATGCACAAATGCTCTGGTTGCATGGAATCAGGGGGAGATGGCTGCAAAGCAGGTTAAAAAAAGGCTGGGAACACTGAGCTGGGTTTTGAGATGTGTTTTGGGCTATGGTTACACAGAGGAGAAAGGGACTTTATGGGGAAGAATGTTTGAGGACCTGTGCTGAGATGGCAGATGCAGTTGCTTAGGTAACTTACTTCTGGTGCCTTGGTCCTGAACAGCCAGGACCAAGGAATACCTTTCACAAGAAGGTGGCCAGCAGCACAGTGGAGAGTGAGGGGACCAGGTATCCTCCTTAAAACTTTTAAAGTTTTTTTTTTGACTACACTGTCCATATTTTATTACATTTTAAGACTAAGTGTAATTTTAAAGTCACATATCCATGCTCCTATTTCCTTATTTCATTTAAAAATAAGTGGTTTACTAAGTGAACACTAAAAACAAATATTTTACCATGCCTGTTAACTGTAATACTCAGAATGATTTTCACAGAAATCTATCCACCTGTCTACTCTTGACTTTAAAAAATTATCACTACAAGTATAATAACAATTCTGAATACATTTTTTATACTAATAGGAGTCGACATCAGTGCTGTTTCAAAAGTTAACACAATTTGTAACTTCTGACAATTTCAGCTGTTGCTCTTTCACTGGGCAGGATGGATAAAGCATGCTTTTTATGTTTTTCATTTGGGGGATTTTTAGTTTTCATATACATACATGATTCCCCCACCAATGAGCATTTCTCACCAGGTTTTTATCCAGTAAACCTGAATTCTGTTAGGAATACACCAGGTTTATATCTAAATGGCAACAAGAGAGAAATAATAATTGTGCTATATTTCTCTGTCATCCGATGGTAGAATGGGTGTACATGTTGTAAATATATTTTTACAATTGTATGGGGTTGTGGTAACCAGCTTGAATTATATTATTTAATTTACAAGTGTATTGTTATAATCAAGACATTAGCATGAGTACAAGGTTGTCCATTAAAGGCAAGTGTGAGATAAACTAAAATCGATTTTGTGTGTTTGTTCTTCTGGTAACTGTGGAAGCTTTTGGTTTCTTTGAACATCATTAGATACCTTACCTTGTGTATTCTAATTTTGATTCTCTACCAGGTTGGCCATTTTACTAACATTGGTCTGCTCTGTGAATCTACCATTTTATTGGAATTGCTTATTCCATTCATATTAATTTTTTATTATACATCCAGAGCTTTTGAGTATTTAGGTTCAAGGTTCACATCCTACTTTGATACTGTTTCTGTAATTTGTCTGTAGACATCATCATTTCTTTGCTGTTCTAAAGAAACATAATTCTGGGCTTGGTGTAATTCGCAGTAAATTATGATCAATTTTTACACATGAAGAGCAACTTGTATAATTCTAGGAGGGAGTGTTAGGCATTAGCTTTTATGTTGGAGCACTACAATTAAAAAATGGTGAGTGGGATAACAATGGAAAGGTCCAGTTTAAAATTTTCTCAGTAATAATCTTCCTTTTTTTTTCCTCTTTCTCTGCTGTCCTCATCATTTGATAAAGAGAAGATCTTTAATAACCAAATGTAGGAAGGATATGGTCTCAGAATAAACCACAGACCCATAAATTGAATAGGTTAAACTTCTTAAATACTTATTATTACTCTTTTTTCATTTAACCACTGGTAAATGATGGTCTGTCAGGGATGAGCAATTATTCTTCCCACAGATTAGAGGAAATAACGTGTGGTGAATTATTCTCTTTTGCCTTGGGTCTAAGTTTGTGACTTAAAAGTGAATCGAACAGCAAGATGTCCAGCTTTGTTGTAGGGAAAACCCTTATTTTTTACTTATATTGTACTTAAAAAGCTGCTGTTGCACTGTGTACTCTGGAAGGGCTCACTGATAAATGATCTACATATTAACTGTTTATGAGAAGTTCAATACATTAGATAAATAGAAACAAAAATGTTCATTGTCCTGAGCAGGATCCTTTCATTGTGAGAAGTCCAAGCCTTGGTTTAAAAATAGACTGAAAAAACTATTATGAAGACCATATCACATTACATAGTAGTAATCCTATATTTTACATTTGCTCCCTTCCTCCTCAGCATT